TCAGTTTGTTAATATTGCATTCCTAACCCTAAATGTAGTGACAAAGCCAGTTCTTGGCTCTTTTAGAGGGAGGTCAATCAGTGGTTAAATGTGGATGTTATTCTTTCAATTAGGGCCTAGCAAGAGGCCAGTCATCACCATGGCAAAAAGAATCCCCTCCAGATGAATTATAGGGCATATAGTTTGGAGTTTAGTATTGTCTATACCTAATATAACATTCCCTCTGAAGCAGATATTGTAACACATATGTCATGCCTTGGAGAGTAAAAAAGTGTTGTGAATTTGGGAAAGGTAGTTATAAGCCTGGAGTGAGAGAGGATGCCCTAATTTAATAGCTATAATAATATTTAGCATTTTTTTAATCCTCCAAGTTTGCATATTCCTATTTAATGCTCATGGCAATCCTGTGAGGTATATCATATTAAAGTCTTAATTTTGGAAATTGATAAACTGAGGCTGAGTTTAAATTACTTACCTAGACTTTATTCACATAGCTAGGAAGGATGATGCAAGAATGAAAGTCAGATCTTCCTGACTCCCAAGTTCATCACTATACTCTATCACATCATTACCTCTACATTATAGTAAGCTGGGAAGAATACTCAGATGAAGTTGAAAGCAGGAATGCACAGCATGAAGGATGTTTATAAGAGGAAGTGGCAGTAGTGACTTGATTAAAAATGTGGTCAGTCTATATGAGAGATGTTCAAGATCAAAGGAGGTATAATATGCAAACTGCATAACAAGAGAAGGATGAAGGACAAGAGACATTAATTTGCTTTTCTTAGTTATTAGTTGAAACATTTATGTGTCAATTATGTTCTGAATCGTTATCACAAGAGGGGATATATCATTACTGTTGCCTAAATGTTTTGTGGATGGAAAGTTCTTTGTGTTTTGTTTCAGTCAATACTGAGGCTAGTGGTGGGGCAGAGGGAAGGAGAGCAGGAGCCAAGACGGTAGAGAAAAGGCAGGGACTTAATTGAGCTCTCCCAAATAATGCTTCCAAACAGCTTAAAACAACACCTCAAAATAAATTCTAGAGTGTTAGAGATAGGACAGGGTGAAACAATTTTCCAAGCTAAGACAACTTAGAAGAACAGAAGGAAAGGACTGTCTCACTGAAATGAGAGTGGAAGGAAGTCCAGAAAAGGCAGCATCCTTGCAAGCCAGTAGCAGATTTTAAGGGTGACTGAATAAGTATCTGTAGCAGCAGAATCCAGAGGTCTCAGTGTACAGAGTTTAAGGGGGTCAGAAAAGAGGTCCAGAGATTACAGGGGAATCTTTACTTAGATTTATAGCAGGACTCTGCTGTCTTGCCCATACCTAGTTCCAGGTCACCATCCCAGGACAAAGAGGAGAACTTGCAGAAGTAGGGATACTGGTCACCATTCCAGGTTGCAAAAGATTGCTTATGGTCACTCAGAGACCTGAGCACAGGGCATGAGAGCAGTGACCACACCTCTTCTTAGATCACACAATCTTAGAAGAACTAAAACATATAGACACCCAGAGCTAGCTTTGAAAAGAGCAGAACCAAAAACCTGAAGCTTAGGACCACATTTCCTTAACCCTGGGAGCAGACCACAACGTTAATATCAAGTTAAAAGTCAAGAAATAGGCTGGAAAAATAAGCAATCATCAACAACAACAACAACAACAACAAAAGAACCTTACCATAGAAAGTTACTATCATGACAGGGAAGATTAAAATACAAACTCAGAAGACCAAAAAAAAAAAAAGAAATCAAAACTGCTATGTGAAAAGTCTCAAAGAAAAATGTGGTTAGTCTTAGACCCAAAAATAATTCATGGAGGCACTCAAAAAGGGTTTTAAAAATCAAATTACAGAGGTAGAGGAAAATTGTGCAAAGAAATGAGTGACGCAAGAAAATATTTTTTTTGAAATATCAATAGCTTGCTAAAAGAGGCATTAAAAAATGAAGAAAATAACCCCTTAATAAAACAGAATAGGCCAAATAGCAAAAGAGACACAAAAATCCAATGAAGAAAATAACTCCTTAAGATAAAGAATAGTTTATATATGTATATATATATATATGATAGATAGATAGATAGATAGATATAGATATAGATATAGATGTAGATGTAGATATAGATATAGATATAGATATAGATATAGATATAGATATAGATATAGATATAGATATAGATATAGATATAGATATAGATATAGATATAGATATATAGATGTACAAAAATTCACTGAAGAAAATAATTCCTTAAAAATTAGAATTGAGTAAATGGAAAAAGAGGTACAGAAGATCACTAAGGAAAACTATTCCTTAAATAATATAATTGGGCAAGTGAAAGCTAATGACATCATGAGACACTAGGAAACAATAAAACAAGATCAAAAGAATGAAAAAAGAGTCAGAAGAAAATGTGAAATATCTCATTGCGAATACAACCTCCTGGAAAATAGATCAAGGAGAGATCATTTAAGTATTGGACTATCTAAAATCCATGACCAAAAAAAGAATATGGACACCACCTTTCAAGAAATTATCAAGCAAAATTGCCCTCATATTCTAGAACCAGAAAGTAAAAGAAAAATCAAAAAATCAAAAGAATTCACCACTCACCTCCTAAAAGAGATCCCGAATAAAAACTCCTAGGAATATTGTATCCAAATTTCCACAATCCTAGGTCAAAGAGGAAAATATTGCAAGCAGCCAAAAAGACACAATTCAAATATTGTGAAACCATGGTTAGGAAAACACAAGATTAACAGTTTCTACATTAAGTAATTGGAATGTGATATTCTGGAAGGCCAGAGAGCTAGGATTACAACCAAGAATCATCTATCCAGAAAAACTGAGTATAATTCTTCAGGGAAAAATGGACATTCAAGGAAATAGGGAACTTTCAAGCATTCCTGATGGAAAAAAAATCAGAACTGAATAGAAAATCTGCCTTTCAAATATAAGACTCAAGAGAAGCCTAAAAAGGTAAAGAAGAAAGAGAAATCACAAAGGATTCAGTAAGGTCAAACTCTGTACATTTTCTACTTGTGAAAATGATACGTGTAATTCAAAATAACTTTCTTTTTATTAGTACAGTTAGAAGAAATGTACAGAGACAGAGGGCATGGACATGAGTTGAATATACTAGAATGACTATCCAAAAAATAAAATTAAGGGCTGAAAAAGAGTAATGCACTGAGAAAAGGAAAAAGGGGGAAGTAGAATTGGATAAATATTCTCATACAAAAAAGGATGAAAAGGCTTTTATATTGGAGGGGAAAATGGGGGATTTGGAAGGCAGAGAAAGTTACTTACTCTCATAAGAATTGGCTGAAAGAGGGTATAATATACACACTCAGTTGCATATAGAAATCTATCTTAACGTATAGAAAAGTAGGAAGGAAAGGGGATAAGAGAAGGAGGCAGTAACATAAGGGAGTGCAGATTGTGGGAAGTGATAGAAGCAAATACTTTTGAGGATGGAAAGGGTGAAAGGAGAGAGAGTAGGATAAATGGGGGAGAACTAGAATAAAAGGTAATACACACTAATCATAATGGTGAAAAGATCATAGCAAGTTTATCAGATAAAGGTCTCATTTCTCAAATACATGGACAACTGACTCAAATTTATAAAAGAAATAAACCAAAAGCATTTCCCCTATTGATAAATGATCAAAGGATGTGAACAGGCAGTTTTCAGAAGAAGAAATCAAGACTATCTATCATCATATCTATCATCAAACCACTATTGATCAGAGAAATGCAAATAAAAACAACTCTGAGCTACCACCTCACACCTGTCAGATTGCCAGATATGGCAGGAAAGGAAAATGACAAATGCTGGAGGAGATGTTGGAAAATTGAAACACTAGTGCACTGTTGGTGAAGTTGGGAGCTGATCCACCCATTCTGGAGACCATTCCAGAATTGTGCTCAAAGGATTATAAAACAATGTGTACCCTTTGACTCAGTAATATCACTACTAAGTCTGTGTACCAAAGAGATAAAACAAAAGATAAATAACCCAAACATATAAAAATATTTATAACAGCTCTTTTCATGGTGGCAATTGATCTGTCCATCAATTGGGCAATGGCTGAAGAAGTTTTGGTATATGATTGTGATGGAATGATATTTTGCCATAAGAAATGGTGAGCAGACTGCTCTCAGAAAAATCTGGAGAGACTCACATGAACTGATGCAAGGTGAAATGAGTAGAACCAGAAGAACATTGGATACAGTAATAGCAGTGTGGTATAATGATCAACTGTGAATGCCTCAGTTATTTTCAGTAATAAAATGATTCAAGATAATTCAGAAGTACCGATGATGAAAAAAATTTATCCACCTCCAAAGTGGGGAAATGGAGATGCAGGAAAATAATTTAGTCTGAATGCAGATTGAAGCATAATTTTTTTTACTTTTTAAATTTTTACTCTGTTTTCTTTAACAATGTGACTGATACGGAAATATGTTCTGCATGACTGAATATGTACAAGCTATAACAAGTTGTTTGCCTTCTTAATGAGGAAGGGCAGGGTGTGAGGGAGAGTGTTCATAACTCAATTTTTTTAATGTCGATTTTTTTACATATAATTGGGGTGAAATAAAATGTTAAAAGAAATAAATCTCATAAAATTGCTTCAAAATATATAATAAATATACAAACACATTCCCATATTTCTATAATCTCCCATACCCCTTTTATGCCATGCCAATCTTGGGAAAGGGGAGAGGATTGGCTCTTAACTCAATTCCTATATAGTACTGTCCCGAATTCCAAGTTTAAAGTCTCTTTGGTCTTGAGTCTCAGATACCCTGTCATCCCCAAGCTTCCCTACTTGACTAGATGGCTACAGCATCCCACAAGTAACTGCCATTGCTTGAAATCATAATTTCAGTGAGGATCACAGTAAGTACTCAAAACTGTGTGAGATAGACTATTCCAGTCTGATCAGTGTTAAAGATTTAGTTTTTCCAGCTATGCAGCCAGTTAAAGAAGGTTACACTTACCCGCATGGTAGGAGACACAGAACAATTACAAGTGGGGCAACCTGAGCATGCTCCAAAGGCTCCTCAGGATCCCTCCATTTTAGGACATCTAGTCATGCCCAGAGAAACCTGCAGATATATTGTTATTGTTGTTGTTTTATTTGATTTTAACACAGTCTTCTTCTCAAAAGTCAGTTATCTGAGGTCTCAGGAAGAATTAACATATACTTTCACATACTTCCCCAGTGCCATACAAGTAAACTCTCAAGACAGCCAATTTTACCAGTTGCAAACCTACATGGACAGGTAAAATCACAATTATCCCCCCCAAATAAAAGTTTTGCAGATTCAATGAACTAAAAAGTATTTTATAAAGCTTAACAAATATTTCTGATTGCTTAGCTTGAGTTTTTAGGACCTTTCTCAATCCATAAATGAAAGAAGAAAGACAAAGAAAATTCCATCCCTCTTGAACAGAAATGTGTTCCACACTGAGCTACCTAAACTATATGGAGCTCGCCCAACAGGGATATGGGATATGGAGTTGACTACGCATCACCCCTCTCTCAAATAAGAAAACTGTCCTGGGTGGAAATACTTTTAATCATTTCTTCAGTGCATAAGGCCAAACAACTTGGGTCTGCACAAAAAGTGTCCCTTTGTACAAAAGGAGCATCAAAATTCTCCAGGTGTCTGTTTCTAGCATAATCAAAACCCATAGAGGTCCATGCAATTTCCTCTGGGTTCCTTATATCAAAGGGGGCCTGATATTCTCCTATGGATCCTTGCTTCTGTCAAAGTAAATTAAATGAAATTGTAAATACCCATCAGGACAAGAAAAGAAGTAGGCTTAGTTAAAGAAGCAGAAAAGAAAGTCAGCTACTTATATATTTTAGGCACAGACACATCACCTGAAAAGTTGTAGGACATTTTGCTTTCACAAAAGGTAAATGGTATAGATCCACTAAAATGTAGATAAATATGAACATTTCATTTAGACACTAGTAATCTAGTGATTCTAGATTTGTCACTCTCTGTAGAATTTCAGTACTTATATAGGACTCAGTGATAACTGACATGAGCATATCATTATCAGATATCACTAATCAATCAAATAATCAACAGATGAAAAGATTACAAATCTTACCAATGGAACTGACTGTTGAGACAACATATGCTGAAAAGTGTTTTAGACATTTACAATCTAAAATAATTCCAAATTTCCTTAGGATCTTGCAGTCTACGGTATCTCAAAAGCTCCAGGAAGAGAATATTTCCAGGGGTTCCCACAAAATTGAAAAGCCCAATTTAATCTCATGCAGAGACCTACATGTAACATATCTACCCTGGTCCTCATAGCCTGAAGGCCATATAGGTTACATTTCACCCTTCCCCCAGATTTCTATAATACCCTTCAGAAGGTCTAAGATATCTAGACTCTTTGATAATTGTTCTAGCCTTCGCAAAGTATTCCCACGGATGGTAGTGATGTGGGTCCCCTACACTCCAGTTCTACTTAACCACTTTGAGTGGGAGCATGATGATGATGATGATGATTTAACAAATGGATATTGACTTCAAAAGGTATAATAACAAATATAAAAACATACTCTTACAATACATGGGAGAGGCAGCCCCTCACCACCAACCCCACCCACCTTTTAACATCTCAGTTTCTGGAGAGGGAAGGGGATTAAGTTTATTGCTTAGCTAAATTAGGATAGAGCACAGTCCTAGTTTCAAATTCAAATTCCTCCTCTGGCTCTAGTTGTCCAAGAGAACCAGAATAGAGACTAATACATCCAGGCCACTTTCTCTGAGCTAGGTTAACAGAGAATGTGAGCAGAGGATGGAATTAGTTTCCCTTTCACTGATTTTGCTCATGGCACTTGCACTGCTCCTGAACTGAGATCTTCACCCTTTAGATGCAACAGGAAAGGATGTTTATGAAAGAGAGATACTACTCCTGTTTGCCCAGTTTTAAAGGTGCAGCCTTTCTAGCTACGTAGTCAATCAAAGGAGGCTAAATTGAACCAGTGTGGTAGGGGACATAGAGTGCTTTCATTTAAAAGATCTAGACGTGCCAAGATAAGCCTGGTTACACATTAAAGATATATATATATACAGAATGTAAATATGGAACCAGTGGAAAAGCATATGCATAAATTATATAGATTAGACACTAATGAATAAAATACAAATAAGAAATAAAATGCTTCGTCCTAGCAGTAGTTTTTCCATGGATGCACTATCATTTGAGCTGAATATCATTGATGTAAAAGTAAAGCCAAATAACATCCAAGCAGCATGCTCAAGTGCAAAAGGCTATGTCTCTTGTAATCTCAGAGTAGTCTTAATGAGCCTCATCTGTCTGTAGGACTCCCTGTGATTAGAATAATCTATTCTGGGATAGAGGCAAGCCACAGTCTCAATCCCCATGGTTAGGAAGAGAAGCCTGCTAGGCCTCTCAAGGGGATCGAGTCTGTCTCTGGCAGTGTTGGGGATATTTGCTACTGCTTTTGAAAACTCTCTGTTAACGCAGCTTAATGAAATTGAGGTGGCTACACCTGTCAGATGCTGTCGAATAGGATTTTATTAATACGTGTCATGACAGGCAAATCAGTCACTTTGTTCTCTAAGTCAGACCTGGAATGGTGAAGGTGATTTGCTAGCAGGGAAACTGTCAAAATTTGATTGCCTGCATCCACTCTGCCTACTGCTGTGTTGTTCCTGAAACCAACAAAAGCCATGGTGATTACCTTTCTTGGCCAGGTACAACAATAAGACTTGAAGGAGATAGAAGCAGACATTTCCTTGATCACTAGTTTAAATTATTCAAGAAAGAGAAAAGCTTAATCCCCACCCACAACCTATTTCATAATAGCTAATACTTTATAAGTTTAAGGGTATCCAAAGCACTTTCAGTTTTACTTCCTTCTTATTTGTCTCTGTCCAGATGATTTAGCTTCCTTTAGTTCTTCTCTCAGATATTATGAAACTTCATCCCTTTCCTACCTGTCTCTTACTTTTATGCAGTTCTAAGTACTATGGAGAATATAGTATAGCCTGACATATAAAGGAAAAGATTGGATTGGGGGTCAGGAGACCTGGACTATTGCAATTTTACTCTAATTAATCTGTGTTCTTGTCTCCTTTGCAATCAACCCTCCACACAGTTGCCAAACTGTCCTTAAAGCACAAGCCTGATTATGCTCAAGAAGCCTCAGCAATTCCCCCTTTCCTCTATGATAAACTATTAACTTCTGTGCTAGATGTTTAAAAGCCTTCATAGCCTTGCTCTAATCCTTTCTTTCCCAACTGTTCTACATTACTCTCTCTTTCACACCATACCTTATAACTAAATTGATATACTAGATGCTTGTTGTATCTGACATCTTATCTTCCAGCTGATATGCTTTATGATAGGATTTCTCACATGCTAAAATACTTTCCTTCTTCATCTCTGCCTCAGATGGAGATTCCCTCTCTAGCTTCCTTCAGCTTGTCATCTCCTGAAGGAAACTTTTCCTTAAGACCTCAATTATCAGTGCTCAGTCCCAAATACACATACATGCACACACTTTTGTATGCACACACTCACACAGATGTTTGTGTAGAGGTCCAATGTACGTTTATGTGTGTAATCATATATATGTCTATGTGTATATGTGTGTGTATTGGGGACTGCTAATAAATGTTCATCTAAAAGTTTATAAACAAGATCTTTGGGAAAAACAGGATGTACAACATACTTTTAATTTAAGTAATTATACTTTTTCCAACATTTTCATAAATCTAGAAAGCAGTAAAATAATAAACCATGTCCTCACTTACAGTTTTGCTGATATCTGGAGTGTAAATTCTCACACCGAAAATTTAAAAATCAGAAGCTGGTTAGAACTTGCTGTAGAACACTCCCATAATATATATAATATATATATGCTAAATGCTAGATTAAACACTTATCTTTGTATATGTTGCCACCACCCTTCTCTCCTCTCCCCCCCCAGGGTAAGCCCTTTCATGGAAATAACTATTTCATTTTGGTCCTTTGTTAGGTCTCTCTCTCTCTCTCTCTCTCTCTCTCTCTCTCTCTCTCTCTCTCTCTCTCTCTCTTTCTCTCTTCAGTTCAGGTTAAGTGACTCACACAGGGTCACACAGCTAGTAAGTAGCAAGGAGATGAGGCTGGATTTGAACTCAGGTCCTGCTAACTCCAAGGCCAGTTCTCTATCCAGCACACCACTTAGCTGCCCTATGGAACTGTCTCTTGCATATATTTGGAAACCAATAAATGCTTAAAGAGATTTGAATCGAATTGGATATCATCACATTGAACTACAGTGTGATATCTCTTTCATTACAACCATCTTACCTGGTGCTAGTTGCTTCTTCTCTGTTCTCTACTCCCTCAGCTGTAAAATGTTGTCCTGGAGGCTCTCAAAAAGTCCTTGTAACTCTAACATTCTGAGGACATTTGCAGCACAATGGTTCTGGTTCTTAATCATCATTCTAGTTCTGACAAAACAGCTTTATGTTCTTTGTTTTCAGGTCCATTCTAGCTATAACATATGATGTTCAGTGTACTAATATTCAATTAAATGTCCTAACATTCCTTCTATCACTAACATTTTTTACAACTTTTTACAAACTTTACAACTTTTTGCAACAATGTTTTTATACATACAAGTGTGTGTGTATACACCCACATACATATGTGTGTATGTACATGTGTGTTGGTGCATATGTGTGTATGTGTACATATATACATATAACTTTATTGACTGAGGATGACACTATGCTCTATTTCCTAAACATTCATTTCTAAGTAAAAATACTGAGAAAAAATTATTCTTTTCACATTGCATAAGTATATAACCAGTATCTGTCAATCGGCCAGTCAGTCAACAATTCAATCAATCCACCAGACCACTTCCATTTCCTGAGCATTGTTTTATCCATGAGGCTCCCTACTTGGGGGTTGATTGCAGTGATTGCTTTCGTGGGTAGCAGCCCTTTAATTTTTTGCCCTACTTAATAGTATTTTATTTTTTCCAATTCTATGTAAAGATAGTTTTCAACATTCACTAAGATTTTGATTTCCAAATTTTTCTCCCTCCCTCCATCATTACCCACCTCCTCAAGACAGTGAGCAACCATAGGTTATACATGTATAATCACATTAAATATATTTCCACATTTGTTATGTTATCAAATAAGAACCAGAACAAAAGGGAAAAGTCATGAGATAAAAAATACAAAGCACATGAAAATAGTATGCTTAGATCTGCATTCAGACTCCCTAGTTCTTTCGCTGGGTATGGACACCATTTTCCATCATGAGTCTTAAGGAATTTTCTTGGATCATTGTACTGTTGAGAAGAGCTAAGTCTATCATAGTTGATCATCTCACAATATTGTTCTGTATACAAAGTTCTCCTGATTCTGCTCATTTCACTCAGCATCGGTTCATGTAAGTCTTTCCAGTTCTTTTTTTTCTGAAACCTGCCTAATCATCATTTCTTATAGCACAGCAGTACTCCATTATATTCATATACCACAAATTGTTCCACCATTCCCTAACTGATGGGCATTTCCTCAATTTCCAATTTTTTTTTGTTATCATAAAAAAAAGGTATAAATGTTTTTTCACTTGTAGGTCTTATTCCCTTTTTAATGACCTCTTTGGGATAAAGACTTAATAATGGTACTGCTGGATCAGAGGGTATGCACAGCTTTATACCCCTTTGGACATAGTTCCAAATTGTTTTGAAGCCTCCAGAATGGTTGCATCAGTTCACAATTCCACCAACAATGCATTAGTGTACCAATTTTCCCACATCTTCTCCAGCATTTATCATTTTCCTGTTTTGTCATGTTAGCCAATCAGACAGATGTGATGTAGCACCTCAAAGTTGTTTTAATTTGCATTTCTCTAATCAATAGTAATTTAGAACATTTTTTTCATATGACTATAGACAGCTTTGATTTCTTCATCTGAAAACTGCCTATTCATATCCTTTGACCATTTTGTTGATAGCCCTTTAGCTTAACTTTCATATTCTAGAACACCAAGCCATTAGGCTCATTTGCAATTTAGTTCATTAATTGCAAATTAATAGTAATACATACTGTAATACATTGATATTTTTGAAAACAGAACAATACTGAGTTGAAAATCATCCTTGAACTTAAAAAAAGCATTAGTTAAAATAACTTCAAGTGCAGAGCCTGGAAAAGAGAATGAAAGGAAGACAAAATGGCTTCTTTAAACATAAATAAAATCATAGAATTAGACTTCGAGCCATATTCAGTGGTCTTTTATTTCAACCTCTACTTGAATTGGATGTAAGTGTATTGGGAGGAGCAAATGAAATGATGGATATAGAGCACTGTGTTAACCTTTAAAGTTATAAAAACATCAGTATTATTGTTATCATCATCATCATCATCATCATCATCATCATCATTATCATCATCTCGATATCTGGCCTGAAGTCTGGTGATGACTTTATTCTCTGGACAATCTACTTAACTCCTTCCAAGTAAAAGAAATGTTTATCCAGCAAGATACAAGTATGCTGGTAAATATTTAACAATCTGGCTCTTGGTAGGAGGAGCAATTATGCACACATACTTTTAACTATAGTCTGCATTAACACTTTCTAAAGGCAAGAAAACCAGTAAAATAATAAATCAAACCCTGATTTGTAGAATTGCCCATTTCTGAGGTGTAAATACTCACAGTGAAGATTTAGCAATGGGTTCTCAACAAGTCAGTTATAATTAGTTTCAGTACACCACTGATGACATACCTTTTAAATAATGCCCTCGAACTGTTCATCTCATTTTAGCTCAATGATTTTCTATAAGGGAGAACATCTTTCTTCTTAAAAAAGCTCTTTAGGATAATTGATTGTTAGGAAATTTCTTCTTACCTGCTTCTTTGAAAGATCCAAAAAGTAAAAAAAGAAAAAAAAGAAATATCCACCCATCTCTCCTACTTCCTCACTCTATGGCCAAATACAACAAACATTTTCCCTCTCCTAGGTCCATGTTCAAAATGTTAAAAGAGACTTATTCTACTGGTTTCCACAGGTTAAACTGATGACCAAGAGATCAAAATTATAAACAGGATAATTTTAGCTGAGTCTGACAATAAAGGTTAACTAAAAATGGGGTGGACACACAAGTAATGTTCTCTATAACAAGTGTGTTTAAACAGAGACTGATAAAAATGTGTATCTACATACATACATATACATACATGTGTATGTATATATGGGCTATGTGTGCATATATATGTGTATATATGTATATACATATATATATATATATATATATATTCAGAATAAAATGATCTCTAGATTCACTTCTAATCCAATCAATTTATAAGCAATAAAAATCAATCTCTGTGCTTATTCAAATCCTACCTGTTCTTAATACCTAGTGGCTTTCTGAAGTCTTTTTTTGGGAAATTACTATTACTGTCACTCATGTGAAATAATTTGCAATTGGGAAGACTAGATGCAGTGATCCTTAATTTTTTTTTCTGACAGTTCTAACAGTCTATGATTCTGTTCCAGCCTTACTTCCCATCTGACTCAAAATCCTAAAAAAAAAAACAAAAAAACTCATGTCATAATGAACCTCTAAGGTCATTTATTCTAACTCATACATGATCAAGAAGATTCTATATCATGTACTTCATAAGTTGTCCTACAGGCTTTTCTTGAAAACCTTGAATATAGAAGTAAACAGCCTGTTTCATTTGGAACAGCTAGAGTTATTTATTGCTGTTTTGTTTCATTTTGTTTTTCTGGTACATCAAGCTAAGTACAGAAGGAAGAATCCTGGACTTGGAGTCAAGACAAGTTGAGTTCAAAACCTTCCTTCAGCACTTATTATCTATGATACTCTGGGTAAGACATTTAATCTCTCTCAGCCTATATGCAATTTCTTCTGATATATTATAAGCTTCTAGAGGGCAAAGATTATTTCCTTCATTTCCCTTTGCAACTCTAGTACCTAGAAGAGTACCTGGCATATAGTATTTATGAGAACAATATCTGGAACAGTGATTTCATTGGTATGGGGAAATCACAACATATACTAAGTTTATCTCTCATCTAGGGGAGGGGGTCCATGTCATCATCATCTCCTCCACCTCCTCTTCCTCCTCCTCCTCTTCCTCCCCCTTCTTTTTGTCTTCCTCCTCCTCCTCCTCCTTCTCCTCCTCCTTCTCCTTCTTCTTCTTCTTCTTCTTCTTCTTCTTCTTCTTCTTCTTCTTCTTCTTCTTCTTCTTCTTCTTCTTCTATAGCCCTACTACTTCTTAGTGGTGAGCCCCCAGTTATACCCTTGAAGATACCATTCATTTTCATCTACTACCTAGATGAAGATAAAGAAATGTTTTTATTTACATTCAAGTCATTAGAAATAATTTCTTATATTTCAAAAACCATGTGTTTTTGAATGAAAACATGGCTGTACCCAACAGAAATCGCATCTCATCCTAATTACATACAACTCCATTACCATACTAAATAGTAATGTTTTATTGAGAACTTCTTTTAAAAATTAATATGTATTGTCTCTATGGTCTTATATATTTATTTTTGTCATGTTTCTGTTACCCAGAAAACTTGAAGTAACTTAGGAGTAAATTATTTCTTTAAAAATAGCTTACATTTACACTAGGAGTTTATAATCATATCAATTTTTCATTGTCTAATATGTTCCTGCAACAACTCATTCACACATTCAGAATACATATTATTATGCTCATTTTGCAGTTAAGGAAATGGGATGAATGGGACTAGGAAACATGTTACACAACAATGAGGTGAAGAAACTAGTGATGTTTAGCCTGGGG